ATCTGCTCTGATGAGATATTTATCGCTATCCGATCAATATGATTTTTCACAGACATATAATACTTAACGAGTTCTACATATTAAACGATTCGGATTATTGAAACGAAACCTGTGTTAAGCTCTCACAGATCTAACAATACTTTTCAATTCGTGATCGGAGCGGAGAGAAACCTATGCCTTTGTAAAAACAATCCTAGGAGGAATAATATCTTTCATAGTTTTGACTAGGGACCAGTAATCATTATAGGGTAATGAATGAAACCACTAATGTCAACCCAAAGTAATTTGTGAATTTAATTTTTATGACTATGTTCAAATGAGCCGGCTTCAAAAAAAACTCTATATTAAACAAAAATTAATACAAGTAGATCTCAAAATCTTGTAACCAAATCCCACAGCTCGATACATGTACTGTTTTTTAGAGATAGAAGGTAGGAAGGAGGCACAATAAATGGACCACATTCAATCATGGGCAATGACCAAATGATTGGCATGATATAAAAATAATAAATAAATAAAAAGATAAATTATAAATACACTCTTTACGTTTGTTTAAAATATAAATTGTTCCTTATAATTTAAAAAATTATAAATATTCCCTTGTTAAAATTTTTTATTTAACAGAATTAACTATAAAAAAAAAAAGAAATTCATAATTGTTCTACTATATAATAATAAAATTTCCTAAATTATGAATTTAAACATATTTATAACATCATTAAAAACTGTTAATTGACTTGATGATTTATTAATAAAACAAAAATGTTTGACAGGTCTAAACTATGAGCTCTAAAGGAGCTCTAGGAGATAGGCCCCACTCATTGATGTGATATTTTAGTCTTAGTTTTATTTTTTTTTTTTTTTTTACCTAAAGTGGAAATTTCGGGGCATTCGAGCCCCGAAATTCGGGCCCTCAAGCAGCGCCGTAAAAATAATAAATAAATAAAAGGATAAATTATAAATACACTCTTTACGTTTGTTTAAAAAATAAATTGTTCCTTATAATTTGAAAAATTATAAATATCCCCTTGTTAAAAATTTTTATTTAACAGAATTAACTAAAAAAAAAAAAGAAATTCATAATTGCTCTACTATATAATAATAAAATTTCTTAAATTATGAATTTAAACATATTTATAACATCATTAAAAACTGTTAATTGACTTGATGATTTATTAATAAAACAAAAATGTTTGACAGGCCTAAACTATGAGCTCTAAAGGAGCTCTAGGAGATAGGCCCCACTCATTGATGTGATATTTTAGTCTTAGTTTTATTTTTATTTTTATTTTTTTTTGAATTTCGACCTCATTAATGCTCAATTAGAGCTCCCAAATTAGAGGGATGAATCACTATTGTTAATAAAAAAGACAATTTGTTATTAAATTAGAAATCTCAGGAGATGGAATATAATTTTCAGAATTACAGGAAGCAATTTATATTTTAATCAAATCTCAGGAGGTGTATGTGTAATTTACCCTAAATAAAATGCTATTATTTGTGGTCTAGTGCAGTATAACATTAATAAGTATGGTTCTTCATTTCGCTTGAAATTCTTATATATTGTAATTTTTGTTAGACTTCGAAATCCGATATTGTTATTTTTTAATTTGTATATTTAATTTTCATCTTATGTGTCACACCCATAATCATTATATTATTATTATTATTATTATTATTATTATTATTATAATTTTCATTAATATTCAATTCCTATAAATATACCACATTAGATAATAAACAAAATGTGATATAAAAATATAATAAGTGCGATATTATTTTTAATATTAACAATCTCCCACCTATTTTTATTTATGCACTATGATAATGCTCAAACATGGGCTTCACGAAAGCCCACTTGTACCATTTATAGTTGGAAAGTTATGGGCTTTTTCCCAGCCCTAAGAAGTTGATAGAATGAATTTGGGCACCCTATTTTTGCAGCCAATGAAAGGATGATGAACTATGAGGGGGAGGAATTGCCATTGATCCCCACATGAATTGTAACAACAAAAAATCAAAAAGGGTCTTTGATTAGTGCAAAAGCATTCAAAAACAAGGGCACTCTAGTTGGAATTCACTTTTCCGAAACAACAAATTATGTTAATAATAAAGAAGATTTTTATCAAATAAGGCACATATGTGAGATAAAAATATAAGACTCACATGTGGGGTCCACATGAAAGGCTTACTTTTTGGCTTTTTGGATGGACAAAAAAAAGTCAATTTATTAATTTATTAACTTATTTAAGTCGTATAACCTATCTAATTTCTTACACATTTTTTATAATAAGCCAATAAGCCCAAATAATAATAATAATCCACTTCACAAAATAGGCCTTTATCTCAGCCATTCTATAATTGAGCAAATTACACTGACCTTCCATGAGGTTAGAAAAAATGCAAATAACCTTGTAATTTTGACATAATTACATTTATCTCTTTTCTAGTAATCCTAAAGTGATCAGAAACTAATACAAATAGTGTGAAATTACAATAGCAAAAAATAAAAAAATATATACATCAGTGTAAAAAATATCACATTATCATTTTCTATCTATATGACTAACGAATTATTAATGAAAAATGAGCTAAGTGTTATATGAATTAAAACTTTAAGAGATCTTAATATAATTATGTCAAAATTATAAAATTTATTGTATTTATTTTATTTTATTTTTTCAAATCATAGGAGAGGTAAATGTAATTTACCAATAGAAAAAATTTGTGCCCTTAGGCTTTCTCCAACAATGACAATAAATTTCTCAGATAAACTTACTTTATCTACTACTGTGTCCATGGGGGATTCTATTTGTACCTAAAAAAAAATATTAAATATGTTCAATTTTTTAGTACATTCTATTAAATTATTTAGAATTATAATTTTACTTTCAATACACCTTATATTTTCTTTTTCTTTTCAAATTAGAATTTAAGGCACCCAAATAATAAACAAATCAAAAACCCTAATTTCACACACAAACTCAATTTGTGAGATCGAAATCAGGGGTTCATATATGAAATCGGGGATTATATAATCGGTTGTTGCTCGTAACTGTTGGAGTGAAATTTTTCCATCAACTTGTTTGAATCTCCCAGGTCATTAACCCTGCGTGAGGCCTTCCTCATTCACTGGCCTCTCTTATGGTTGAAAGTTTGAAAAACAAAACTTGAGTGAGATTGATTTCCTTAAAATAAACGAAGAGTAAAGTTAGGCCTGTGGTGAATGAACACCATTGCTTCCATTGATTTTCTTCTTCGTTTTTTTAATATACAAATCAAACCCACCAAAATGGTAGGGTTTTGTTGTCTGTGACGTCTCAAATTTTTTTTTTTTTTTTTTGAAACATCATAAGATTTAAATAACAATAACTTGTTAGATAAAATTTTAACTACTAAAATTTTAAATTCTTACATAGTCAAAATCTAACAACAAAATAAAACTACAAGTTCACATACAGCGCCACAACATTGTTAAATACTAATACAAGAAATAACAAGATTTTATTTTGATAAAATCTTAACTCTAAGTTAGCTAAAGTTCGATATTAGCAACAGCTCCAATTTCAGTCTCAGTCCCTTCTTCGACATAATCCGGCATGAAACGTCAGGGCAACAAAATATGTGCCATAAGTTTTGCAACACAGTAAGAAAGCATAACCAACTTACCATTTTTTTTTAGAAAAAATAATGAGATTATAAACACGAGATAATAATATAATCGTAAACATAAATTACAACCATTAAAATAATTCAAATAATTTTAATAACTTAGGTAACCTTTGAAATCTCATCAAAGAGGTTTAACTTACCAACCACTAAGTCATAGCCACGGTTAATTTGAAAACCTCCCCCCCTTGGTCAAATATTCAAGAACTACCAAAGATGTCGATGCCCGGAGTTATATACCTAAGCCGTGACATCCGTGGTCTGTCCTAAGGGAATGGTCTGCCAGGGGTACGTAACTTCCCTGCGTGCCACCCGCACGTCCACCCTTATTCCAAAACCAAATACCGATAAGGGTTCAAATAAGCCCCATGTCATCTTAGGGTTTCGCGACACAATTTACTTAAAAATTATTAAAAACCAGGACTCATACTGAATACCTGGTATTAACCATCTATCAGTAACTTTATATATACCATTATTCATTTCGGTTAATTTATATATTAAACACAAATTATTCAAATCTCAATCACCAATAATGTTATACCAAAAAAAATTCCCAATATAAAATATTATACATGTCACACAATAATAATTCAATGTACAAAATTTAATAGACAATTAATTTAAACCATGGTATGAACATACACTACAAGAAAATGCACTTTTGGTGACTAAAATTTTAGTCGCCAAAAGTAAGGATTTTAGTCGCCGAAGCCTTTTCCCAACTAAATATTTTGGTCGCTAGATTTGTCATGGGAAAACAGTCGGGGAAGGCTTTGGCGACTAAAAAAAATTTAGTCGCCAAAAGTCCTATAAATGGATACTAATGTTTTAGTAGGGAAAAGTACGAGGTATTGGTGACTCAATATATTTTAGTAGCCAAAAATCATAAATTGACGACTAAATATTTAGTCGTCCAAAGTTTTCAAATAAAATTAATTTTCATTTTCAGCGACTCAAACTTTTAGTCGCCCAAAGCATCATTTATTATTAGCTATTAAATATTTAGTTGCCAAAAAAAAATTAATTTTCATATTTTTTTTTAGCTACTAAACTATTTAGTCGCCTAAAGTCTCATATATTTTTTATTACTAAATTTTTAGTCGCCAAAAAATCTTTGGTTTGTTTTTGGCTTGTTTTTGGCTACTAAATTTTTAGTAGCTAACAAGTTTTATTTTGTTTGTTTGGCTACTAAACATTTAGTCACCAAAAACTTTATTCAGTGTTATTTTTTATTATTATTATTAATTTCTGCACAACCTGTATTTATTTCGTGCAACCCGCACCCTGTATATAAACAAAACAATACATGTCTATTTCTATTTCACTTTCAACCATCCAAAAATTTGGTCTTGTAACATCAAATTCTATACAAACCAAATATAATCCAACCCAAAATAATAATTCCATACAAACAGATAATCATACAAAAATGATGTCCTCCGTATACAAAAAAGAAATATCCACTAGTAACCTATACCACCAGAAAATAACTTCATCTCTGTTGGATCAACAACTATTACAGTAATTGGTAGTGGAAAAGCTCGAGTTTGTAAAAGTTTTTCAGTAAGAAGGTCCCACACCTACAATACGAAAATAAGTCATTTCGAGAAACAAAAATACTCATGCTAGGAAGATATTATTATGAAACATGTAACATAATTAAGTAACCTTGCATATGCCATCGAGGGAGCTTGCTAAAAAAATTAAACTTGAGCTTGATAAAACATTTAACAAAAATACTCATGCTAGGAACATATTATAAAGAGCTTTTTGTTTGTCAATACTTGGACTGGACTTTTTCATTAATATAATCATGACATTTAGCTAATCAGTTGTTTTAGACCATCACATCATGTTTTGGATGAGAAGAAAGAAGAAAATCAACCAGGACACGAGGGGGAAAAAACAGCAAGAACATGAAACACTTGTTATCGATTTCAACACATTTTTCACAGTTGTCCCCATAATTTTTATAAATATCATTAACACATCATTTTGGATATATTTTCTATTTAAACTGTCTGTTTTTCAAATACCCAAAAAGTATGGGATACTTGTAAACAGGGAATCATCTCAATTCACTCCCAAATTAATCCAGACAGACACTAGAATTAGATATTCGACATGCACTGAGAAAATTTATAAGCATTAACACAATATTCACATAATGAGAAGATGAAGTGACATATTTTCCTTCATTTATCACTAACATTTATATGATCCTAGCATTCCTTGCTTTGTATTGGCATTTGTAACTATGCAATATTACAGGTTGCATTTTCTCAACCTACAGGTCCGAATAACATTCCGTCAGTTGTCACAAGTCATATTTGGCATAGGGAAGCTGTTCGTGTCGGCCACAATGCAGATCAAGGGCTATTTTGAATTTTCGCCCCCGAAATGCCGTTTTTCGACTAAGTTTTGGGAGTATTCGTCTCTAAATCCCAACGTACGGGTCCGAATAACATTCCGTCATTTGTCACAAGTCCTATTTGGCATGGGAAAGGTGTTCGTGTCGGCTACATGGCAGTTCGAGGGCTGTTTTCAATTTTCGCCCCCGAAACGCCATTTTTCAACTAAATTTTGACCGTATTCGGCTCTAAATCCTAACATATGGGTCCAAATAACATTCCGTCAATTGTAACAAGTCATATTTGGCATGGGGAAGGTGTTCGTGTCAGCCACACAGCGGTTCGGGGGTTTTCAATTTTTGCCCCCCGAAACGCCGTTTTTCGACTAAATTTTGGCGTATTCGTCTCTAAATCCCAACCTATGGGTCCGAATAACATTTTGTCATTTGTCACAAGTCCTATTAGGCATGGGGAATGTGTTCATGTCGGCCACGCGACGGTTCGGGGGCTGTTTTCAATTTTCGCTCCCGAAACGCCATTTTTCAACTAAGTTTTGGGCGTATTCGGCTCTAAGTCCCAACATATGGGTCCAAATAACATTTCGTCAGTTGTAACAAGTCATATTTGGCATGGGGAAGGTGTTCGGGTCGGCCACACGGCTGTTCGGGGACTGTTTTCAATTTTCGCCTGCGAAACGTCCTTTTTCGACTAAGTTTTGGCGTATTCGTCTCTAAATCCCAACCTATGGGTCCGAATATCATTCCGTCATTTGTCACAAGTCCTATTTGGCATGGGACAGGTGTTTGTGTCAGCCACACAGCGGTTCGGGGGCAGTTTTCAATTTTCGCCCCCGAAACGCCCTTTTTCAACTAAGTTTTGGGTGTATTCGGCTCTAAATCCCAACATATGGGTCCAAATAACATTCCGTCAGTTGTAACAAGTCATATTTAGCATGGGGAAGGTGTTCGTGTCAGCCACACGGTGGTTCGGGGGCTGTTTTCAATTTTCACCCCCGAAATGCCCTTTTTCGACTAAGTTTTGGCGTTTTCGTCTCTAAATCTCAACCTATGGGTCTGAATAACATTCCGTCATTTGTCACAAGTCCTATTTGGCATGGGGAAGATGTTCGTGTCGGCCACATGGCGGTTCAGGGGCTGTTTTGAATTTTCGCCCCCAAAACTCCCTTTTTCGACTACGTTTAGGGCGTATTCGACATTGTATGAGACAGACAATTACCCGCCAATACATTTTCATATCCTAGTTAAAATACATGCAAATTCAATTCATATGACAAGCTAATTAAGTAAATTCGTGTCAAACTAGGGAGAAAAAAAGATCCAGAGGCATGCAAGGAAATAAAACTTTGACTCATAAATCTTACATGAACTCCAAGGTGCAGAGGTATGCACTGCAGAGTTTTAAATCGTGTCGAAGACGAGTTACTCCTCCAGTCCCAGTAGCAAGCATTAATTCTTCATTGCCTCCTGTTTTGAATTTTCGCCCCCAAAACTCCCTTTTTCGACTACGTTTAGGGCGTATTCGACATTGTATGAGACAGACAATTACCCGCCAATACATTTTCATATCCTAGTTAAAATACATGCAAATTCAATTCATATGACAAGCTAATTAAGTAAATTCGTGTCAAACTAGGGAGAAAAAAAGATCCAGAGGCATGCAAGGAAATAAAACTTTGACTCAGAAATCGGTATGCACTGCAGAGGTATGCACTGCAGAGTTTTAAATCGTGTCGAAGACGAGTTACTCCTCCAGTCCCAGTAGCAAGCATTAATTCTTCATTGCTCCATCTATTCTTTAGTGGCCTTAGGACAGAATTTCAAAAGCAATACCACATATCCAAAAATTAATTAATAAATAGAGCACATATCAAATATAGACTAGCCAACTTATGTATGGTATAGCAACAGTAGGGAAACAAGAAGGAAATAAAATCAGAACATTCTTTTGTTCATGTCATTCAGCAAGGAAATACATTGCTCGGTTTGTTTGTTTGTTTGTTTTTTTTTTTTGAATGAAGAACCTGATTTTCATTTTCTTCATCAATTTTGCTGATTCCAATGAAGAATGTGTTGAAATGTTTAAGGTTCCTACAAAACACACACATAAACATCTACAAATTCCAATGTACCTGTGGATGGAGAAAAGTAATGCAAGTGCTGCAACAGTCTTCTCCCCACCAGATAGCTGTTCCATATCACGGAAGTGCTTTGTTGGCGGCATAGCAGTGTATTTGATGCCATGTAAGAATGGTTCGTCCTCATTGTCTCAGTTCAAATATGCTGTCCCCCCAAGCTGGTGCGTGCTACTCTTCGTAAGTTGTTTGTAGATTTTGTCAATAATACCAGAAATGTGGTTGAAAGCTTCCATAAACAATTCATACCTGTTTCCACCAAATTAAGTTTTAACTACAGTTCCATCACTGTAAAATATACCAGGTAGCCCAGAAAGATGGCACAAAGAAGAAATATAAAGAGCTTAACAAGTTCATGACTTGAATATGTAAAATCGCACATAAACTATAATTTCCTTTCTACATTTCATGCGAGTAAATATACTCCACAGACCCAAAGAAAACAAGGTACCAGCATCATTATACAAGTAGGAATTGCAAGACTAAATTCCAGACAACACAGCTAATTTGATTCATAAAACAATCATGCAAGCAAAGGATTTAAAACTTAAATTTATCTTCCTGCAAAATTCTGATGGGTATGCTGGTTTATCAGACTGAACTCTTTTTCCATAAGTACAGAGTATCACTAATAATATGTCTGATAAAAACATCATAATAATAGAACTAACAATTCATTCAAACCTTTGATTTTATTTGACGATTAAGTTTGCTTATGCTTGTCGTAGCATTAGAAATCTTCTTCTTCCATTCCTGAATATCCTTCTCACAAACTTCTGACTTGAACTTCCATTCTATTGAAGAAGACAAGGAGAAAAAACAAGTAGCAGAAATTATATTAAGCCATATTAGGAAAAGAAAAAAGATCAATGGCAATTGGCAAAATATACCCCAACCAGATCAAAGTAGTCATACAACTGAAACTTTTTCCATAAAGATAAAAAGTTCAGTAAATTTTCACTATGTAAAGTAACACCTCAATATACTTCCACTACTTTTCTTCTATAATATGAATCTTAAGCCCAAACTACAAGCAACTAAACTAATGACTTCCAAGCCTTTGTAAACTACTGTGGATATAATTGGAATGTGTAACGGACCAGCAGCACATAATATAATGAAAATGAAATAACATAAACCAATGAAGTAAACACGACAAACATTCAATGTTACAAATTCAAAACATTGGGTGAGTAGAGGCAATAAAATACGCATCATGTATAGTTAGCCATCGCAGCAGCAATGTGCTGAGACAACACAACATCAGAAGTAGACTTGACTATGCTACGATACAGATAAAGAAGAAAAAAACATACACCTCACACAATTCATGAAAAGCAAAAGTAACAAGAAGTATAAACAAACAATTAAACAAGAAAATGATAAAATCATTACACCTAATATTGCTTAAAAGCTCACTTTATGCTACTTATAAAAAATAAAAAAGAGGACACACACATCAGGTTATACCTTGTTAGTAACATAGTAAACTTCATAGAATATCTTGAGAAGCTGAAAACATACCCTTTACTTCCTCCTTCAAATGATTGACGTCACCCCAACAGACTCACTAAATTTCTTGTAGATCCGGTCGACAATCTCATTGATCCTCTTCTCTAGTGACAAGATCTTTGAAGCCCTTTCAGTAATAGCTTTTTCTAACTGCAAACAGTAGAACCCATCCAAGTCATTTGTGAGTACAGTCAATACTGCAATACACTAGATGCATAGAATAGTCACCAAAGGACCTTATGAAGTTCAGGACTACTACGATGAATTTCTTCTTTGATATTATCCTTTTCCTGCTTCAATTTTGAAAGTTTGTCCCTAAGAAACACGGACACTTCTAGGAAGGTGACGTGTCGGGTACGCGTCGGACACCGACACTCTTTGGACACTCTCAGGACACGTGTCCGACACTCTTCAAAACGTGTCCTATTGTTTAAAGACTTGGACACTCTTTGGACACTTGAAGGACACACGTGTCAATCGTTTAAACACACGTGTCTAACGATTAGACATACGTAAAACTAATTTTAAGTTTGAACAAAATAACTTAAGATACAATAATAAAATAAAAACCATATAAATTTATAAGAATTAGTGTCATATTGCATTTTTTATTATCTTTGAATGATATATTCATATATATATAACATATAATAAATATATAAAATTATATATTTCATGCGTGTCCTCCTCGTGTCGTGTCCTGCATTTTTTGAAAATTAACGTGTCGGCGTGTCCGTGTCGTACTCGTGTCGTGTCACGTGTCCGTGTCCATGCTTCTTAGGTTTGTCCTCAATGCTTTTCTGCAACAAACAGTTCTTAGTAACCAATTGTATAAGAATATGCATTACTCATCCAGTTCATAGCGAAAGTCAAATTTAGACTGCCTCAATTCAAAAAGCCCATAAAAGGTACAAATCTGCAAATGTTTTCATAACACGATATTAATCATTTCAGACTTTCAGTTACCTTCTCAATCTCAGCATACTAAATCTTCTTTTCAAGTCCACTAATTTTCCCAGATGCTTCAGACTCTTTCAGCTGCATCTCTGTAATTGACCCAAGCTCTTCCAATTCCAACTCAAACCCCTCTGTCTTCTTTTTAAGTCCTGCAATATAGAAAAAATTATACTGTTGCATTAAAGCTTAAAAAAGCACTGATACATCATTCCACAAACCTTCAATTTTTTTATCGTCCCATTTATGTGACCTTGCTTCCATTCCACCACTTGTACCACCAGTCATTGTACCTGACTTCGTCAGTAGAGTCCCATCAACAGTCACAACTGCAGGAAATAAACATTCATGTTTCAGATATAACCAAATGGAAATGACACCCAAAAAAATGAATCAAATCAAGTAAACATAGATACCTTTATGCCGCTCTCCACTCCAACTTAGAGCCTTAGCTTCACCAAGATCATCACAGACTAAGGTATTCCCGACAGCAAACAAAATAGCCTTCTCCAAGGCTGGATTGAAAGTGTGATTGTTAAGTTACAACTTTATACTCCATACATTTTTATTGTCCTTGCCGTATTATATAGTATGTTTGAACACAAAAGCATAAGCAAGTTCAAAGTGGATAAAACATCAAGCCTTCTCCAAGAACATCGAATTATGTATGAACATCAAAGAACGAGTTGGAGTGAGCTCTAAGAGCGTCTATCTCAATCTCCAAAAACACAGAAAATATCTAAAATATCAGGGTCTGTGCTGCAATCCCTGATGTTCGGTTCAGTCTCACTTGTACGTCCGTACTGATGTTTGACAGTTAGCCCTTCTGCCAAGACAACTTCTATCGGTCTGTACAAGTTATCACTATGCAACTCCGTGCATAGTGCTCGCACCCCCTTATTGGAGTGCATTGCAACGCTCACTTTGCGACTCGAGATTGCATCCCTCGTTTCCATGCATCTTTTGAGAGGTTGCAAAATGTCTCTAACACGGAAGCAAAAGAAACTCTCTTCTTCACTGGCATAGTCTCTACAGACTTGGTTTCTTTGCTCTGAACTTTCTTCAAGATTGGCTTCACTGGCTCAGCTCTGTGCACCTTTGAACTGCCTCCTTGCGTTCCCGTGTATCGTTTTCGCCATTCCTGATGAAAGCCTTGCTCAATCATACGCTTTGGTTGCGTATGTTCTCTCTTTGTACCCTTCGACTGGCATTTGACAACACTCATCTTTGTCAAAACTTCTCCTTCCAGTCTGTACAGTTTGTTGCACAATTTGCCTCTTTGCGTTCCCGTGTACCGTTTTCGCCATTCCTGATGAAAGCCTTGCTCAATCATACGCTTTGGTTACGTATGTTCTCTCTTTGTACCCTTCGACTGGCATTTGACAACACTCATCTTTGTCAAAACTTCTCCTTCCAGTCTGTACAATTTGTTGCACAATTTGCCTTGCAACAATTCTTTATCACCTCTGTGTACATGAAGAACCCCGCCACTAGATGAGAAACAATTTCCTTTTAGATCTAGCATACTCAAGGAGATTAGATTCCTCCGTACTCCTGGCACATGTCGGACCTCAGATAAAATTACTTTTCTTCCATCCTTAGTAAGGAATCGCACTGTCCTTATGCCGACAACTCTGTTCACTGTGTTGTTGGCCATCCGGATAATGCTACCGCTGACTCTTCGGTAAGTGGAGAAAAGCTTCCTATCCGCACATATGTGAAACGTACACCCTGAATCCAAAATCCAGCCGGGTGTTTCCAACTCTGACGAGATTGTAAGCATCACCTCTTTATCGTCAGAGGAATGCACTGCAACTGCTGTAGTTGAGGGACATCCGTGTCCCTTAGCCTTCTCTTTGGCTTGTCTGTCCGCCTTCTTCTCTGGGCAATCTCTTATTACGTGATCCTCTTGATCACAGTAAAAACACCTCCTCGTGTTGTCCTGTCTGGACTGTGAACGCCCTCTGCTTTTACTTCTTCCTCTACCTCTGCCCCTTTCTCTATCTCTGCCTCTACTTTCTGTGACAAGGGCATGTGACTGCTCTCATTCCATCTCTTTCTTCCTTGCCTCCTCGTTGAATAAGGCGTCTGTGACCATCCCCATGGTCAGCTTCCCTTCGGGTGCAGAATTACTGAGAGAAACCACCAACGTCTCCCAGCTGTCTGGTAAGGAACTGAGTAATAATAATGCTTGCATCTCATCCTCCAACTCCATTTTGATTGATGCAAGCTGGTTCACAAGGCTGTGGAATTCACTGGTGTGTTCAGCAACAGACACACCATTCTTCAGCTTCAGGTTTATAAGCTTTCTCATTATCAAGGCTTTGTTCCGTGCGGTCTTGGACTGGTACATGCCCTCCAATTTCATCCATAGGGCATAGGCGTCTGTCTCGTGGGCAACATGGTGGAACACACTGTGGTCAATCCACTGTCTGATTTGACCGACAGTCTTCCGGTTGGTTTTTATCCAGTCCCCATCCTTGTCTCCATCTGGTTTGACCCCCTTTAGCGTTATAGGGTCAAACAAATCTCTACAATACAGGACGTCCACCATCCGCGGCTTCCATATCGCATAATTAGAAGCGTTCAACCGTATCATCGGCCCTGAAACTGATGTGGATTCCTCCATCATCCAGAAAGTAATCTCTGTTTGAAAAACAGGCTTTGCTGTGAAGTCCGGACGGCTCAAATTAGCCAGAAAAGCACTTCGGATTGCCAAAATAAAAACTGCAAATTTTTGAAAGCTTATTTGAAAACTCTGACCGTACGGATGTGTCCGAAATATTCCAAATAGTTGGAAAGCACTATTGGATCACCCAAATCGGACCTCAAATGGCTTAGATGTAGCCAAAACAATTTTAACGATTCAGATCGGCAGAATCTGGTGCGCCTGCGAAGCACCAGATTACTCCTCCGGTTATGCTGACGTCAGGCTGACGTCATCGGCTCAGTCAGCGGCTCGGTCAGCGGCTCTAGCTCGGTCAACGCGGCTCCTGCTCGAGTGGCTTGGTGCGCGCGCGTGCGGCGCGTGTCGCGCGTCAACTCACGCGTCGTCTACCTTCGTCCGCGCGTGTAGCGCGTGTCTGAGACTAGGACCACGCGCCGGGAGCCTGCACGGCGCGTGTAGGCGCGTGACGCGACTGGGATTCACGCGCCAACTTCCAGAGGCGCATGAGGGCGCGTTCGGCCTCCGTTGGGTGTCTGCTTTATATTTCTGGACTCCTCTCGTCGAGTCCTTGCTCCTGGTATGCTCAAAATCTGATTTCGAGCAATACGATTTCTGGGCAGTTTCGGAACAACACTCTGTTTTTCCGCAAAACGTACAACACCAGCTCTGATACCACTTGTTAGGATCAAAGACACCCAGAGAATTATCTCACACACACAGAGAACACAATATTTACGTGGTTCGGCCCAATGCCTACATCCACGGACAGAAATGAGAATTATCACTAAAATGGAGCAAAAATACAATTACAGAGGAGGAGATGAAACTCACTCAACTCACAGCTCTCACTCTCCAATTTCTGATGATACAAACCTCTTCTCACTCATCTCAATTTATAACCAAGAGAGGAGGAGTAGGTGAAGTGCTAGCCATAATTGGCCAAGGTAGTGCCACCCTCACTATCTTCCTTTAGTGAGTTGGTGTAGCCCTCCACCACCTTCTTTTACAACATGGTGCTACCTACACTATGTGAATGGTGGGCTCATTACCATGTGGGTAGTGGATGGAGCCAACAGTTGTAGCCTTGGGAAGGGAGAGCTTTGCCTAGATTGAGCCACTGATATATTTAATTAAACATGAATGGTTGGAAGATTTTAATTAAGCTAATTTTTGTTGAAATACATAGGAAAGATTTATAGGTATTCAGAGCATATTTGGTTCATTATATGGCATAACAAATAAAGCATATTAAAAAAAAAAGTTGTGCTTGTCTATTGTGACACTTGTATATCTACCCAATGTCATTCAAGAAGGGAAAAAAACAGAGCCTGAGCATCAACAACTAAAATTTCTTCTCATCTACTGTATAACTCTGAAGCAATAGAAGGGGAAAAAACAGAGCATGAGCATATATGATCTATATCAATCTATACTCCTTAGAGGAAGAAGTGTAAGCATATATAATCTATATCAATATACTTCTAAAATTTTCCATTAACTTACCTACTAATAATATTCTTAAATTGTTTAGTACCTTAAATCAATTGCTATCTACCTAATAACACTATATATACATATATAACTCTACTCAGCAATTTAAGCAGTTCTTCACGATTGCTTAAATAGAGCAACAAAAGTTTGGAATTAAACACAACTTGGACCTCATATGTGCTTCAAATGTAGAAAAAGAGTAAAACCC